TACACTATAAAATAGATGCTGAAGCCGCGGCTGAAATCGGTCACTTGTCCACAGAATTAGTATTTTCTGTACAGTGAATGGCACGTAGTGCACTATATAGGGGACAGGGAATGATTCAAACAGTGTAAATATGCTTTCCATTGAGGAAAAAAAGAAGTCTGGTTTTGCGCTGTGTCACGCTAACCACCGCACCGCACACACACTCTGCTCCGGACACGATAGCACGGAGCGGATCACATGCGCGAGTCGGCGCAGACCACAAAATGTATCGGAGCTATTTGAATTCTACACAGAATGCTATATTTTATAGCAATATGGATGAGATTGTGGCTGGCATACCCTGTCAAACGCGGCTTTACGGAGCTCTAGCACAAGCTGTGATATAAACGAACGCTATTGGCTATTTTAAAAAGGGGCGGGGCTGCTTGATATGTCCCGCCCTGTCTTCCTGTTTCAGTTAAAATGACGTCAACACAGAGTACCGCTGCATGTTTCTAGGCATTTCAGGGGACCTTTAAGTCCCTCTAAATGTGGTGAAAGAAAAACTTCATTCAATAATTAAAGAGGTCTAGACAACAGTATTCATACTGAGGCCAAATCTATTTTTTCCAGAAAAAACAAAACAAAATTAAATAATGAAATAATGTCAATTAAAAATATAAATGATCACTATGTGTGTGTGTGTGTGTGTGTGTTTGTAGGTACTGTATGATTTTGAGATCTATCTTTTCCCACTGAGGACAACTGAGGGACTTATACGCAACTATTACAAAAGGTTCAAATGCTCCAGAAGGAAAACCGATGCATTAAGAGCTTGGATGTGAAAACTTTTAAATTGGATGATCAGGGTTAATTGAACTTATTTTGTCTTCTGGGAAACATGTAAGTATTTTCTGTAGCTTCTGAAGGGCAGTACTAAATGAAAAAAAATGAAAAAAAAAGATATTTAGGCAAAATAATAAAAACCCCAGGCTCTTAATGCATCGTGTTTCCTTCTGGAGCATCAGCGAGCGTTTGAACCTTCTGTAATAGTTGTGTATGAGTCCCTCAGTTGTCCTTAGTCTGAAAAGATGGATCTCAAAATCATAGTCATTTTTGGAAAGGGTTTAAATATGCAAAGGATGCTGGAAAACCAAAGAAATTGTGGGACCTGAAGGATGTTTTTTTCTAAAGAGCAGCAGCCAGTTTAACTGTTCAGGACAAACAAGGGACTCATGAATAACTATCACTAAACAAAACAAAAAATGCTGTAATTCATCCAGGTAACAAAACGGTATTAGGAAACAAGCGTATGTAAACTTTTGAACGATGCCATTTTTATAAATTCAACTACTATTTTCTCTTGTGGACTATATGTAA